GAAAGTAACTGTACACCCAGATGATGACGAAACCTCATTGTGTCAAGGCGGACTTCCGGCAGCTTTCGTTCTTCACCGCCCAGCACAAGTTTGATGTTCCGGATGAAATAAGAAAGGAGAAACTTTCAAAATTTGCCAAGAAATACATGATTTGGCAAGCGATCTGCTTATGTGACAAACGGAGAGCATTGTTCGTGACTATTGGGACTGTAAACGGGGAGATCTACCTCAAGGAGTGTCTACAGAAGCGTCTGTAGATGGGCCCTACGATCTTATGGTCGGATCTAGCTTGGTGCCACTATTCAAATGTTGTCCTGGAGTGGTACGAAGCCAACGGGGTCACTTTCGTACCCAAGGACATGAACCCTACCAACGGAACTAAGGCCCATCGAAAAATACTGGGTTTTATGATGAAGGAGATCGAAGCAACTCGGTGAAATTATAATAATCCTGTCAGTATGTCAGTACTGCATCAATAAAGTCTAGTTTAGTCTCATGTTTCAACCCAACCGGTCGTATTAACCGAGGTATTAACTCCCTCCTCTAAGAGGTTATGGGCCATTGCTAGAGATGACGTTACCATATCCCCGGAAAAAATCAACTGAAAATTTTTTCACGATGGAGAGATTGGGAATAATGAAACTCAACGGAGCGAACTACAGCGTCTGGAAAACCAAGGCTGAGTTCCTGCTAATTAGAGAAGACCTGTGGCAGTACATTACCGGTGACGGACCGGTGGACACCACGGTCAATCCAGCCACTGAAGCTACCAGGGCAGTGTGGAACAGCGGTGACCAGAAGGCGCGGGCGACGATCGGCCTCCTGCTAGAGGATAATCAGCTGAACCTAATCAAGGACTGCAAAACGGCGAAAGTGACCTGGGAGAAGCTGCGGGGACATTACGAGAAGGCAACACTGACGTCCAAAGTGTCGATTCTCAAACGAATCTGCGAGAAGCGCTATTCCGACGGAGAAGACATCGAGCAGCACATTTTTTAAATGGAGGGTCTGTTCGAGAGGCTGACGCTGACTGGAGAGGAACTGAGCAAGAGTCTACAGGTAGTTTTGGTGCTCCGGAGTCTTCCGGAATCGTTCTCGACTCTGACCACAACGTTGGAAAGCAGGTCCAACGACGAGTTAACGCTGGATCTGGTCAAATCCAAGGTGGTCGACGAGGTGGCAAAACGTTGCTCGAGCGGTGGACTGGACTCGGTGCTCAAGACCCACGTGTCATTTTTGCCAACGACCGGGGCACAAGCAGAAGGATTGTCCATCTCTGGCCGAGAAGCGGACAAGCGAACGGAAATCATCAGATGACCAGCTAAGCGAAACCAACCACAGGTGCGAGCAGCTCGCGAAGAAACCCCGAAGAAGGAGTATTCGTTCGCGAAGAGAGGAACTGCAACGGTATCAAATTCATGGTTCGTTGATTCCGGCGCAACGTCGCACATGTGTGTGGATCGGGCAATTTTTTGTTGAGCTGAAGGAGAGTCATAAGCAGGACGTGATTTTGGCCGATGGTACTGCGACGAAGGCGGAAGGCATCGGTTCATGCCAGGTAACTATGCTGTCTCCGGAGGGTGAGCCATCAATAGTAACCCTCAAGGAGGTGCTGCTGGTACCGAATTTCGAATCGAGCTTGGTTTCCGTGCAGAAGCTGACGGCAAACGGAGCTACGGTCATTTTCGACGTCAAAGGATATCGAATCTTGAAGGACAAGAAGGTGATTGCGGCAGCAACGATTTCTGGGGGACTGTACTCCCTGAAGGTACCCCAGGAAGCACTGGCCGTCAAACTGTCAGCACACTTGGCACCGTGTGTTGGGGCATCGTGACCATGACGCCGTTCGTGAGCTGGTGACCAAGGGTATGGCAACTGGAATCGAGATGAAAGAGTGCGGCTGCCGAGTCGTCTGTGAATGCTGTCGTGAGGGCAAGCTGACACGTCTTCCGTTCCCCAAGAAGTCGAAGCCAAAGTCCAAGCAACCATTGGACCTTATTCACACCGCTGTGTGTGGACGCATGCGAACCGTGACACCCGGTGGGTGTCGTTATTTTCTCACCATGATTGACGACTTCACCCGGTTTACCGTCGTATATTCCCTAAAGTGGAAGTCCGAGGTTTCCCAGCGTATTCAAGAGTACGTCAAGTTCGCCCAGACAGAATTTGGAAAAACCCCGAAAGTCATTTGTTCCGACCAGGAAGGTGAATTTCGGAGTGACGTGCTGGATGCGTTCTGCCGAGCGCAGTAGATACGTCAGCAATTTACCACCGCCTACACTCCGCAGCAGAACGGGGTTGCGGAGCGGAAGAACCGCTCACTGGTGGACTCCCGAATGCCGTTGAAATACTGGGCGGAAGCGGTTAACACTGCGAACTATCTACAAAACTGTTTGCCGACAAAGCCGTTGAAGAAAACGCCGTACGAGCTGTGGTATGGCACGAAGCCAGACATGACCACCTCTAGGTGTTCGGTTCACCTGCGTACGTGTGGATCCCTGGAGAGAAGAGAAGCAAATTTTTCCCAACACAAGACGTACCGATTCATGGACCCAAACAACGACAAGTCGGGACTGCAGGTTCCTGCCATTGGACGAGGTTCGGAGTGCCGAACCTCAGAAGGGAAGTATCGTTGATTATCCATTTAGACTCCTAGAGCAACCGAAAGCTGAGGTCCCCGTTATTCCAGCAAACGTGGACGAGAGCGAGGACGAATCGGATGAGTCCGATCTACTCAGGTTTGAGACCAGCTACGACGATGCCAATGAGGAGACGTTTGTGGAAACAGAAGCGCAGGAGGAGCTTGAGACATCCGACTATCAGGAGGAGCAAGACGTCGTCGGCGAAGTTGATGTACCAGTAGTCCGACGATCGGAGCGTACCACAAAGGGCATCCCGCCAGAACGGTACCAAGACACCGTGCGCATAGCAGCGCACATTCGAAGAAGCAATGGCTAGCCCCGAGCGCAACATGTGGGAGGCAGCCATGGAGGAAGAGATGAAAGCGCACGAAGAGAATTCCACATGGGATGTCGTCCGTTTGCCGCCAAACAAGAAGGCTATAGGCAGCAAATGGGTATTCACGAAGAAGATGGACGAGGGCGGAAACCACTTTTCGAACCCTGCTGAGTGTTGCCGCCAGACGAGGAATGCTGGTGAAGCACGTCAACGTGAAGACGGCGTATCTACACGGAGAGCTGGAGGAGACCATTTTCATGAAGCAGCCGGAGAAAAAATCACCGAAGTCTTGAAGCAGCTGGGCTACGTGCCATCTGAAGCAGACTCGTGCCTGTTCGTAAAAACCTGGAAGAAGAAGAAGACGTTCATATTACTATATGAGGACGACATGCTGATTGTCACTAACACAGAAGCGGAATATGAAGCCGTCCGGAAGCATTTAGTGGAGCACTTTACCATTACGTGCCTTGGAGACGTGCGACACTATTTGGGAATCCGAGTGACAAGATCCGGCGGACAGTTTTTCCTGAACCAACAAACCTACATCCAGAAGGTAGCCGAACGGTTCGGACAATCAACAGCGAAGCGCTCGCCGATACCGATGGATCCCGGGTACTCGAAGGTACAGCAGAAGGAGGAGGAGCCATGCCCAGAAACGACGAGTTCCAGAGCCTGGTGGGTGCTCTTCTATACATCGCGGTCAACACGAGCCATAAACGCCTCAATTCTGGACCGCAAGGTGAGTCGACCAACGGAAGCAGACTGGACCGAAGCAAAACGGACGCTCCGGTATCTCCAGTCAACAGTGGATTGGAGCCTACGTCTAGGTTCATCCGGACCGCTGGAAGCATACGTCGATGCAGACTGGACTGGTGACAAGACAGACCGGAAATCAAACACCGGTTTCGTCTTCTGTCTTGGAGGACCAATCAGTTGGGCAGCCCAAAAACAACCATGCGTAACTCTTTCGTCTACCGAAGCGGAGTACGTGGCGCTTTCCGAAGCCAGCCGCGAGCTGATGTGGCTGATGAAGCTACTGAAGGACGTCGGAGAACCAATTCTGGCTCCTGCAGTTGTACACGAAGACAACCAAAGCTGTATTGCGATGCTGAAATCTGCAGGCGGTAGCAACCGAACAAAGCACATCGACACTCGCTATAATTTTGTGAAGGAGTTGGTCAACAATAGTGTGATGGACGTTCGCTATTGCCGCAGTGAAGAAATGGTTGCCGATGGTCTAACAAAACCATTGGCTCGCGTCATGATGGAGAAGATGCGCCTGAAAATTGGTCTACAGCCCACCGAGCTTGAGGAGGAGTAATCGAAGCAACTCACCGAGCTTGAGGAGGAGTGAAGGAGATCGAAGCAACTCGGTGAAATTATAATAATCCTAGTATGCTATAAATGTCAGTACTGCATCAATAAAGTCTAGTTTAGTTTCAACCCAACCGGTCGTATTAACTCCCTCCTCTAAGATATGAAGCAGGCACTACGGAAGTATCCCAAGGAGGTCAAATCTGAGGAAGACATGAAGAAAAGTGGGTTTCCAGTCAGAAGAAGCTGCAGGCAGATGTTGTACAGAACCTAATGAGTGGAGTTAAGCGTAAGGTGTGAGCGTACGGTTATGGTATTGAAGTTGAATGAAATAAATATGCCAAAAGCTCACAAATGGGCTATATTTTATTGTCTGAAAGTTTGAAAAGGATCGGTCAACTAGGTAGTTTTCTACAGCGTTTTTTCCGTGATGCAATTTGATGTGGGACACCCTTTAGATGGACCCAATCTTTAGCTCCATAGGCCAACCTTAGAGCCATTTTCCCTACATGTCCATACTTATTGTGGCAAATGAACCGGAAGAAAACAAAATGACAGTGTGAACGTCAAAACTCTAGCTATTAATGTATCATCTCTCTGTGAAAGAATCCATTGACCTTCCTCGTTTCCCTTCCACTTAACCCGATTGGATCAATCTGATCCCACATCCCATACACGTATAATCGATACACATACATATCTTTAGCTAACAAATCCCGGATACTCACTGCGGTCCACCGAAGAAGAGGTCAAAGTCACGGAACTCGATTCGCACTCGCTGGTTCGGTTTTCCAATAAACTGATATGTGCACGACATATCTTTTGGATAGGCACCTGGATAAGTTGGTGATATAATAGCACCCGTACGTTTCTGAGCAAAATTAATTACATAGGAACATGGCGACCCAATTACTGGCTGACCAATCTCATATTCAGCTGGAACGGAAGAGAAGAGAGAGAAGAAAAAATTAGTTCAGCTGTTCTTCGAAGGACTTTTCGGAGAGCCGGGAAACTTACATTCATTAATAAAGGCATATCGACCCTCGAATATATCAGGTGTTGTCGAGTTTTTATCCGTATAAAATGACAATGCAATAGCACGATATAATGAAATACGACGACGTGGCGGTATAGGTCCACAGTAGCGTCCGCCGAAGGGCGAGTTGATCAGTTCGGCCGGGTCGGATGACTGAACTTCGGCGTACACGTCCATGTACTCGTGGACGCAACTGGATTGATAGGTGGGGGAAGAAAAATAGTCGAGGTTAGGTTCTCTGTTTGGCGTCAGGATATACTGTCACTGTATCTGCTGTTGTAGGCGATGCTTCAAACGTCAAACTAATCACCATCAGGGCGGGTAACGATGATCCATCCTGATGGTGGTGTTAGTTTGCTTGGGCGAGCCAGCAGTTTCGACAAATTGACGTTTGAACCATTGTTTTCAAAAGTAGATACGGCTATTTGACAATTTATCCTTGGGATATTTTCATTTTCGTCTTTAACATTCGTTTACAGTACACATCCGATAGTTTTCATGACTGTGGGCCAGAACACGCTGTCTTTTCGTTGTTGTTGATTGTCGTTAACATTCTGACAGTCGTGCTATCGGACCTCTACCATATTCCAGTACTCCGTTTTGAGCCGGATGGCTTCAGTAAGTTAAGTTATGAGAACTTTTAATATTTTGGATTGTTTAAAGCATGCATAGAATATAATGAGAAGTGAGCGTTATATCTAGCTACAGGTAAAAAGCTACGAATGACAGGAAATAAAATACCCAATGGTTGTTTTTAGAATGTACGGAATTATACTACTAACTCTTTGTCTGTTGACCTATGTCGTAGACGAGATATTTTTAAAAGAACATAATTATTGATGATTATTGATGAAATATATAGGCACTGTTTACAAAGGGGATACTCAAGGTTGTAACTTCGTCAAATACTGTCCAATTTTAATTCTTCCAGAAGCATTCGACTAGAAACCTAATCTAGTTTTATGGTGTGACCACGAAAATAAATATGGCTACCGGATACTGGAAATATTACTTGCAAAATTTGGGATGAGTTTTTTTTTTGGATACCGGTGAAAAATCTATATTTTTAGAAAATAAAGGGTGAACACGAAATTAATGCCACACAGATACGATACCAAATGGCTTGACATTTTCAAAGAATATTCTTATGTGAGTTCAAAATCAAGCTTCAGCGTCAAACTTATACCCGTACCGTGAATCAAAAGCAATACTGATCTATAATTTTTTTTGCTTAACCGCTGATTTCAAATTTGAGACTGTTATTCGGGCTAAAAAATCTCTTAGACCGACTTAGAGTGCAGTTTTGAACCCCTTCGGATACGGTGGTGTTTAAAGTTTGCTCTCTGTTTTGTGCGTGCGTTCGTTTTCATAGTTTTTGGCTGCATTTGCCTGACCAGCGCAGGCAGTCTGCCTCCCGGACGGTTTCCGAGAAGTTTTAGAATCGAGAAAGAAAACATGATTCATCGTGTTTGCAAGCATCAGAAGATTTGGTTGCAATCTCCGTTGCTTGATTTTTTCTCCCGGACCAGAAATTTGTGGCATCGCGAGTAATAATTTTAATTAGCAGTTTATGATGTTGGTTCGTTCGCAACTTGTTTTTGATAAAAATTAAGTGTTTTCGATCGAAAGTGTTCCAAAAGTGCGTTTGAACGTGTTTTGCAGTTGGGTGTGGGGAAATTCGTGCATTCCCGGTTCATTTTCAGTGGAAATTTCGTATCACAAAATTGCCCAGCGATTCCTTATTTTTTTTGCCGTTCGACGACGACGGGTGTGCTTTCGCGAGAGTGACGTTTATTGGATCTGTTTCTTTGAACGGCTGTGTTTTTTGTAATCAGCTGTTGTAAGTGTGCTTGCGAATTGCATTGCCTCCTGGGAGGCCTGTTCACCGTGTTTGGATGTCACGCTTTCATCGTGTAGTTCTATCAAGAGTCTTTCAGAGACGATAGTTTTTGTTTAACTGCAGAAGGATATAAATCGTTGGGTTTTCAGCTCTTTGGTGTTGGCAGTCGCGGGCGGTCAATTTTGCTCATGCTCATGCTCTAAGCTTACTTTTAGCTTTTCGATGATGGAACGTCTTCAGATTTATATTATAATGATCCACCGTTTTGTTTAGGCTTCAGGAAAATCAAAATGTAATGCATGATACCACTGATTAATTTAAAACCATGGTCGCATCACTTATCAAGGTGAATCCTGATCGAACGAACCCAACTTACTAACAAAATCTCTTGTACAACGAAAATGGACAGTCACTCCCAGCCCCATTTAGTTTATTCATTGTACAATTTCACTAATTCTGATCAATCACGGAGTAGCAACCATTGATTTGTGCAGTCAGTGTAAGCTAAGCTAAGCTAAAAAATCTCCTAGACCGACTAAATAATCATCACTGAAAATTTCAATAATTTCGTTGTCACCTTTTACAAAGAAATAAGAACCATTTCAAAAGCGACTACTACGCCAAGAATCGACTGAGATATGGTCATTTCCCTAGAATTTGATCTGATGGAGTAATCTGAATGCGGTCAGATCTTTCATTCACTCAAAACATGTCGTGCGACTACTCTTTGTTCATGGTTTTTCATGAATAAGCTTTTGGTAGACTTGAAGTGGATCATTGACCACATTGCCCGCTGTCGGAACTACCTGGATGTTTTCGGGGGATCCTTTAGTAGGGAACAATTGTAGTTTTACACAGAAACATGCCGTGCGACAGCTCTTTCTTCAAAGTCTTTCATGAACATAGGGTGTCCCAGAAAGTATAAGCACACTTTCAACTCGCCGCAATTTCTACTGCGATGAAGTTTATCAGCTATTCATCGATGTGTGTTATTGTTTACTTATTGCATTTTTTCTTTACAAAATCATCAAAATGCGAGGCCTCACTTGATAATTATTTAAATCTTCAAAATTAAATTTCAACCTCGTGAAGCGCTCATGTTTATTTGCATTGCTCGATTGGAACCGCGTTTGACGGTTCGATTGGAACTTTTGGTTCCAGTCTTCAAGCGTCTCTTATGTTCTCATATACAGTCAAGATTCCTATAGTACGGTTAATAGAGCTTTTTGACGTTTAATCGGCGCACACTGCTGCACCATTTAAATCAAACGAGTGCGAGCAAGAGGGAAACATATCAGTGGGAAAACAAACCGTCCATTCATCCATGTGCGCTAGATAGAGAAAGACGATTAACCGTCAAAAAGGTCTATAGGGACCGCACTATGGGAATCGGCATTAACGAATACAGCCGAAATTCGCTGGTTGGGTCAACTGACAGAAGGCTAAAATTTGTTGGGGGGTATGCGTATCCTTTGTTACGGTTAAGAAGATTTAACATCCAGATGCCTTTTAATTGGGTCATGGCCCAACTAACGAGCACTCCAACTAACGAGCCCCAACGAAAGAATCTCCGCTGTACACGTTCCATATGGGATTAGAGCTAATTGGGAACAAACTCTTATTTTAGGGCAATTAATCATTTTGTCAAGCTTCTGCAGTCATTTTCCATCAGATGTCACTGCTGTTCTTTGCAATGACATCAATCGGAAACTACACATAATCTATTTTCCGTTAATTGTTCACAGAGGACAGTGCAGTGCAAAACATATCTGGTAACTCTATATATGCATTTACACGCTAACTGCTGCTAACTCACCAGGTGAGTCGATCGTACTCACTTTCGTCCGATGTATCGAGTTGTCAAAAATTGAGTAAACGAGAAATGTCAAACTGAGTAAAAGCCACTCAGTCAGCAAAATCCTGGACTTGGAAAAAATGCCAGTCATGTCGGAGGGAACCTCATAGAAAATGTTACTCAAAACCGGCTGAAATGCCTTCAGGTAAGTACGAATTGCTTAGAGAAACGGTGTTGAACCGTTTTTTGCTCCGGTAGAATGAATCCGGAGCAGGCAATTTCTATTTCCTTGAATAAAAATCAAAACAAAAACCCTCCCCGCAACTGAAAGTACGGGCGAGTGGATTTGACTCAGTCTACGTGAGAACGTAGTTTACTCAAAAGTGAGTCACCATAAGGTTACTCAATTATGAGTAGCCATACTTGCCGCTGAGATGAGTACATTCGACTCAATTTTGAGTTGACCAGAATAAGCGTGTAGATTAATATCCGAAGTCCCTCCCTTTTTACACATTCTGCACACAAACTAGCTCACCCTTCACAGATTTTCCCGCCGATTTTTATGTATGCACGGTAAGAAAAAAGTACCCAACGGTCAGTTCACTTTTACCTACTTTTGACTAGTTTATCTCCTTTTCTCCTTCTAATGTTGTCAAAAACGGAGGAGCAAAACCACCCAATAGGGGTAGCAAAGTGTGGGAACGCAACGTTGAGTATAATCATGTTTAACTACTTTTGGGTACAACTAACTTACTTTTTGGTAGAAAGCTAAAGAAAAATTTTATACGAATTGCACACAAGTAAATGAAAACTACTTTGGCCCGCTTTACCTACTTTTGGGTTCCTGCACTATAGTGCCGAGATGAGTGAAAAGAACATACTTTTGGGTACTTTTTTCTTACCGTGTGGGCGGGGCAGAAAGTATCTTTTGTGCAGAATATGAACAATAGGATGGACTTCAAATGTTAAACTAAATGCATATATAGAGGTACCAGACATGTTTTGTAGTGACAGTTACTCTATTTTGTAATCTGTGAAAGGGAAATCGCAAATCGAGTGTCATCAAAATATATGGCATGTTGAGAGATTGAGCTCGTGAGAGAGAATTTTCTCTCTCAAATTTGAATTTTTTGGCTCTCTGGGGACTGGTAGTAAAGCAGGTAAAACTGTATGGGGAAAATCATTTTTATTTAATTGTAGCTTGTTTAGCAATAATTTCTGGGAAAAAACTGAACGACAAAGTCCCTGACTGATTTCTTTAGGTTGTCGTTTAGTTTTTTTGACCTGAATATGCATTGAAAGCGAATTATTCCCACTGCTCTCAATTTATATATGGGGATTTTTATCACTTCCTACCAGCGGAATAGCGCCATCTCTGTGGAAAATGGCCGGACGATATGATTAATTTGAAGAGATAACTTCCTGGTGAATTGAACCTTTTGAGAAAATTTTGCATCCGGTAAGTAGCAAGCCTTGTCCTCAACTGACGTTGAGCTCCGAGTTTTTTTTCGAAACCTATCATAGATGTCTTATCAGAATGAGTTAAAAGTTGTTACCG